ATAAGGACAAACGAGAGGTTGTAGTCGATCAAGGAGACTCCGGGCCATCCATTGCTGGTCCTAATGTTTGTATATGATTAGTATTCGCTGCATAATAGCATTAAACCTGACCGGTTAAAATAACCGGTATCATGAATTATGCGGCGTACAATAGGTGGGGGCTGCGAGTTGTTCCTCAGAAGAAAACGGTGATGCTCGACAACAGAATGAACCAGAAGAAGAAGGTATCGCCGACCAGCCCTGTAAGAGCGACGACGATGTGAATGATAACGCGTTATTAGCTCGAGAAAGGAGACGAGTGCAGCGTGGATTGGCTCGTAAGCGGCTCGACGCGGTTAAAGCCAATCTGTCCCGCGATTGAACTACAACTACGGGCACCTGGGAGATTCTGAAGAAGGAAGAGATGGAAATTCTTGCGCTCGACGAAGATGCATTGAAAGGATGCGAGTTGACGGATGGAATTTTGGTAAGTGTGTTGATTGCGATAGATGCTGTATATACTGTGTTGTATAATACAGCTAGATTTGGCGACCCACCGACGCGAGGCTTATCCTGGGCTTCTTGCAGGTGGATACGGGCCGACACAGGAGATACTGGATCTTGCAGAATGTCCTCTGGGTCTGTTCTTTTTCTTCACGCCACCCTGACTGTGGAGGCGTGTTGCAACTGCAGCAATCGATACTACAAACAACACTTGAATGAGCGCGTGGATCGCATGTATGCTGCACAACAGGCAGGAGGAGACGAAGGGACGAGGGACGATGTGATGCAGTGAGAGACCAAGAGACACAAGACTATTCATCCAGAGGAAATTTTGCATTGTCTCGGTTTGCTAGTGATGCCCTCACAAGCGCAAGTTTGCCGGCCATTGGGCAGCAACTGCTGTCGGTGCAGTGCCGAAGGGCACGTTTGGTAGCTTCATACGAAAAGCCCGCTTTGGCCACAGCATGCAGAATCTCCACTTCACCAACAACGCTGACGTGTGGGCAGAGACAGACCGTGCGTGGAAAGTTGTGGATACACTCCAGCACACTTTCATCAAAGGCTAC